CCGTTTGCCCTTGCCACGCTGGACGTGACAATATCTCCTATATAGATGATCATGTCATCTGTGAATAATAACAGGTTTATTTTTTTCTTTCCAAACAGGATGCCTTTCCTTTTCTTGCCTGAATGCAGTGGTTAAAACCTTAAATACAACACTGAATGGAAGAAGTGTTGAGAGTGAACATTCCTTTCTAGCTCCTGATTTTAAAAATCATTCAGTATGTCATTATTAAGTATTATGTTATGTATCGATTTTTCTTAGATGTCCTTTAAGTTCTCTTTTATCCCTTGTTTGTTGAGATACTTTTAAAAATCAGGAATGGATGCTGGATTTTGTTAACTGCTTTCTATTTTTTTTTTAGCTTATTAATACAGTGAATTATATTGATTAAAAATTTTAAGTCAATCCTGCATTTCTGGGGTAAATCCCATTTGGTCATGATAAGTTATCATGAACAGAACTATCCTTTGCTAAATTTACTAAAATTTGTTTAGAATTTTTAAACCTATATATTTGAAGTATATTGGTCTATATGTAATTTTCTTTTCCTTAATGTCTTTGTCTAGTTTTGGTATCATGTTAATGGTAGTTTGATGGAGTGAGTTGGGAAGCATTTCCTGCTTCAATTTTTGGAAGAGTTTTGTGTAGAACTGGTATTATTTCTACCTGAAATGTTGATAGACTTCACCAGTGAAGCCATCTGGGCCTGGAATACGCTTTGTTCAAGGTTTCTAACCTTAATTTCAGTCACTCTAATTGATACAGTACTACTCAAGTTATCTATCTTTTCTTGAATGAGCTTGGGTAACCTGTGTCTCAGAAGGAATTTGTCCATTAATCTTTTGGCATAAAGTTGTTTATAATATTTCCTTTTCCATTTTAACATTTGTAGACTCTATAGTAATGTCACTTCTCTCATTCTTTTTTTTTTTTAATGACTCCGTTTTATTTTATTTTTTTTTAGTTATTTTTTTTAGCTGAGCCATCCTGCCACCTGTTGGCAGCTCAGTGGCTGCTCAGCTCGGGCAGGGACTCGAACAGCTGTTGCTCAGAGCTCAAACTCTTGAGTGAGCTCTTAAGCAACGCTTCTCTCATTCTTGATATTGATAATCTGTAACTTCTTTTTATAATGGGTCTCGCTTGAGACCAATTTTATTGGTTGCAGAAGTCAAGCTTTTAGTTTCAATGTTTTTTTTTTTGTTTACCTGTTTTAAATTTCATTGATTCCACTTCAATATTATTTTTCTTTCTTCTGCTTACTTTGGATTTAATTTGCTCTTCTTTTTCAGTCTCTTAAGGTGGAAGCTGAGGTCACTGATTTGATGAGAAAATTCTTTTCTAATATAGGTGTTCAACTAGACTGAAGAACAAAAGGACAGCAACTTGTCTGTTCCCCTTCCCCCAATTCCCCAGCGCTGTTCCCATCTCCCCAATTCCCCAATAAAAATCTTAAAAAAAAAAAAAAGACCCTGTAGGAATAGTGAGTCTAAATAAATATCTTCCAAGATAAGCACAGCAAAAAATGTCAATACTGAATATGTAATATATTTAAATAATTCAACTGTCATCAACTTTTTACATGGGTACGTGAGGTTTTGTTTATAGACTACAATCTTGAGGTGGTTAGAACAGTTATTAACTTAATTGTTTAAACTCATTAATTGGTATGTTCCACCTCTTTATGATTATGGTTTTATTTAAGGCTCAAAAATAAATCAAAATAGATCATCAATTTGAAAAGGTAACTTGTAAATTTTCCTCTGTTTTCACGCAAGATTATGGTTAGAATAATGCTGTAGAAAGAAATTTAAGTATTTCAATCCATAGACATATACTTTTGACTAACTACCTCTCATTGGTAATAAAAATTCCTGGAACCCATTAATTTTTTTTATTCTCAATATTTTATTTTCCAGATTTATTGAGGTATAATTGACAAATAGAAACTGTATATATTTAAGGTGTGCAATACGATGTCCTGATGTTACGTACACATTGTGAAATGATTATCACAATCAAGCTAAATAAAATATTTCCATCACCTCATATAGCTACTTTTTTGTGTATGTGGTAAGGATACTTAAGATCTACTCAGAAAACTTCAAATATACATTATTATTAACTACAGTCA